CGCTACGTATCGCTAAACAAGGAAACAACACCTCCACGGAGCTCAGCGCGATTCACAACGTCCCGACCAATCAGAGCACACTGTGCTCACAGGGAGGGTGAGGGCTGGAGCTATTGGAGCTACAACGAGCCGTTAAAGGCAGAGAGTGGAATTCAGTGAATACACATAGTTTACAGCAGTGGTTCTCAAACTTTTTCTGTCANAGCTCAGTGATGTAAGGGACTCTGAGTGTTTAGATAGTTAAGTTTAGTCTAGTTATCTCAGTGGGTCTCAAAGTTTTGGTCACCATTTATGAGAATAAATGAAAAACAGTTATGAAATAATATTACAGTAAAACAAGAATACAGTTTAAAAGGTGAGTGATTTGTAAAATATCCGTAAAGAAAAAGAAAATCTGTTTACAGTGCTGGTGTTGAGAGATGCATCCATAAATTCATTTTGCTCTCAAAATGTACCAGGTTGATGCATTTAACTTCAATATTTAAAAAAAAAAATCTTCCCGGGGGAGCATGTCCCTGGACCCCCCCACACTTGTAAAATAGCACTTTACCTCTGCTTACACCTATATGCTATTTTATATGCTGTGAGCTGATTATCGAGCCTTCGTTGTAAGAGTCGCGGGTACACTGTCAGTGTACCCGCGACTCTTACAACGAAGGCTCGATAATCAGCTCACAGCATATAAAATAGCATATAGGTGTAAGCAGAGGTAAAGTGCTATTTTACAAGNGGGGGGGCCTGACAGAAAAAGTTTGAGAACCACTGCTGTAAACTATGTGTATTCACTGAATTCCACTCTCTGCCTTTAACGGCTCGTTGTAGCTCCAATAGCTCCAGCCCTCACCCTCCCTGTGAGCACAGTGTGCTCTGATTGGTCGGGACGTTGTGAATCGCGCTGAGCTCCGTGGAGGTGTTGTTTCCTTGTNTTTATATGCTGTGAGCTGATTATCGAGCCTTCGTTGTAAGAGTCGCGGGTACACTGTGTATGTGCGCATTCCACTGTAGTGCCCGGTACATTAATGGGAAACCCTAGTTTGTACATGTTCAATACATTTGTAACACTGTACACATGAACGCTTCTTTTTTCGGTTCACCAAAAAAAAAATCTCACTCCAAGCTGAACTCAAATGTTGGCAGCCCTGTTTTAATTACCACACTGGTTCACCTGACTTCCTGTAAAGGGTCTGATATACAGTACACCTGAACTCCAGCTTTGTAGCATAGTTGTAATCATTATACCGGCTACTCAACAGTTTGTGTTTACTGTTACTGCTGTCGTAGCATCTTTGGGTTGCCCTTTGCCATGAACACAACGTTAAACCTGCTGTCCACTACCTGTACAGAATGACAGTAGCCTACCCTAAGGAGTAGCGTTTAGCTTTTTAACAGGGCAGAGAAAAAAGTTAATATTTGGTAATTAACAGCTTTAAATATTTTTTTAATATGTTTGTTTTGGGTAGTGGGTTATTTTTTAGACAGAGAAAGTTGCATGGCTCATCTCGTTAACCTTTGTTAATAGCAAACACATTAGCCACACTACGACAAATGCTAAAAGTTTGCTAACATTAGCCACCATTTGATACCGGTCATAGCAGGCCATTTAAGTCAGTAGCAGTCAAACACTTAAATACATTGAGTCAAGCATGTGGTATTGTATTGGTTACTAAACCAATGTATATTTGTGTCTTTCTTATGCTGCTTAGTGTGTCACTTGAGAAAAAAACTGCTGTTATCGTCTTAAGACGTCATAACGCAGGTTACGTCATTACAAAGTTAGTGAAAGATAGCTGCTGGGGGAGTCAGAAAGATTTATCTTTTTGTATCACAAACAGTCACGTAGCCTATTATGAAAATGTTATCGTCACCACTTTTTTACTTCAAGCAGGGTTGAAATGACTCACATTCAAAACAGTAGCTTAGCTACTGCAATTGTTTGTTTAAGTTTAAATCTTTCTGCTCCGACTTCCCTCCCAGACATTTCCTTATCGGAGATGAACACCCTCCTGACGCCAGTGAGTGCCTCCAATTTCAGGCGAGTGATCATTTTGACTTTAAACCCACATGACTTTACATTTTATAGTATAGTGCAGATAACTTTCGAGGGAGGTTTCCCTTAAGGGTTGAAGTCCATGTCTAACATGACACAGTAGATAACTGCAGGGAAATGTTCAGTTTATTGCCATTCATAATGGACAGTGACTAATCAACAACCACAGAGTCCCTACAGTATGTTAGGCAGAATATGAAACATATTAAAGCTGGTCCTCTGTCAATTTAAGATATAGTTTCAATCTCATATTTGAATCTTTATTGCAGGGTGAGTGCGTGAGACGACTACTCTGATCAACACAGATAGAGTCCAAAGGCTGCACATAAATGTTATGACACTGAATGTTTGACCATAGCCAATCTGCATCAAGGCCATTTACAGGAAAATTAGTTATTTAATATAGATGAATGAATGTGCTGTTATTGCTATAAAATAGCATTAGAAATGTATGTCATTTTATTTCCATTAATGGACAATAAGAGAAGGGACTATATATAAATAGATGAACTGTCAATTACACTTACTTAGCAACCAGAACTTACAGTTACATGAGAAAAATAAATAATCAAGAGATATACACACAAATTCACAATTAACTATGCAAAACAAATGAAATACAAAATATATAATTATTGCTGATACCGTCAGAAAATAAACAATTAAATGGGGTAACGCTGGCCAGGTCATGACAAGACAGATTTGATATATCTGTAAGATCAGTTTCTCTTCCCCTTCCTTTTTCAGCAACAGCTGGTTCAAAGTCAAAGTGCCATAAAAATCAGTTTGTCAGTCAAAGGAGGGCTGAGTCGCCTCCTACATACTGAGACAGATTCAGCAGGGCGTCGGGACAAACAGCAACTCTACGGCACACTTAAAGAGTGGAAATTAATGAAGATCGCTTCTTAAAGGACTGTTAGGTAGACCTCTTCATATTTTTCAGTCACACTGATTTTTTGTCATTACTATTCTGCTGCCTATGTGCATATTAACCGATGAATTGAGAACAACAGGGGATTTGTAATAAATACTTTTTAAACCCTACCTTGGGTTTTTTGTAATGCATGATGACCTATGAATATCCAAACTAAATTCAAAGGAGACACTTTTCTTTGAAACTGCAACTCATCATATGGATTTCTTTGTGTCTAGGCAGTAGGAACGCAGAAAATCTGTGATGCTGAGAAAGGTAGGACTGAGAAATTCAGAATGAGTTTTATGAGAAATCATGCTTGTTCCTTGATGTAGTGTAAACATTTCCTGCTGTCATTCCTTCAAGGAAATAATGTAAGCTTATAAAGACGGTCCCATCATAAATGTGGTATTCTTAAGAACATTAAAGGAATGCTTCACCCATACAGTGATTCTTCTTATCAATTATTCACCCTGGTACCTTGAATTCTCGATGTATTTTCTCTAATGCCTCCACAGAGATCAAAGAATAAAAAACTGAGCAAAGTGATAATGAATTAAAAATAAATTAGGGCACGGGTTTAACATCATCAAAACTATAACCCAAGTCTCATTGATCCAGTTGAATGCTCAATACTTCCCAAACACAAAAACACAGATTCTACTTCATCTCACCAAGAAATGTCTCAGGTTGAATTATTTGTTTACCATGGAGGTAAGCCAATTAAAAAATTATCATATTGTGGGTGAAGTGTTCCTTTAAACAGAAAATCTGCTTTTGAATATTATCATTGTATATCGTGCTGTGTATTTTCAGGGGGAGTGGGTGTGGGTGGACTCCGAAATCGGGGTACCCATCGGAGCTAGGGTCACAGTAACACCATCTGGTCAGCGGTTACTAGTCGACGATGAAGGAAAGGTAAATATCCCCTTGTTTAAATAAAAAGCCAAATCAATATGTTAAAGTGTGTTGGTTTAAATAAAAAGCTAAATCAATACTGTATGTATTGCTTACATAAAGCATCATAAAAACATGTACAGCCTGGGGTTTGACCTTATTTCTTTCTTTGACCTCTCGCAGCAGTGGAGTCTGGCCCAGGAGCAGGAGGCCTCGCTCAGGATCATGCACCCCACCTCCGTGGAGGGGGTGGATGACATGATCAAGCTGGGAGACATGACGGAGGCCGGCCTCCTCCGGAACCTGCTGCTGCGACACAAACGAGGCCTTATCTATGTAAGGCAAAGTGCTATGCAGCTCCAAGATTTTCAAACAATAAGAAAGTAAAGAATTCCACACATTTTAATGAGAGTAAATAAACAATTAAACTACAAAATAGAAAAGGAAATCAAATAGTGCCAATAATGAATTAAAAATATGAACATTTACAATAATTCCTGATCATTTGACATTTTTCAATGCTTTGTTTATCTCAAATTAAATTGAATGTACCTTCTTTGTATGATTAAATATCACTATAGTATCATGTATACATAATATGCCCAACCCTTACGGCACTAGAAATCAGCAAATATTTAGAAGAATACCAAAAACCAGAGTAGGAACGCACAAATAATATTAAACAATTAGACAATCAATTTTTGTTTTCACCATGCTTTAGGAACAATGGTAGCAAATGTATGAGAATACAATTTAATTAACCATACAGTTCTGCCATCTTAAGTGCACTTGAATATTTCTGGATTTTCTTCCTCTATCCTAAACATCTCACACAGCACCATTTGTTTTTTTACAGACCTACACAGGCTCTGTGCTGGTGGCAGTGAACCCATACAAGGATTTCCCTTTTTATTCAGGTGACCAGGTGAGGCTGGTTTTAAAATTCATCACAGACGTACTACAGTTGCAAGTCATTTCCCATTCATCATCTAACCCCGTTATCTTTCAGGTGGGGTTGTACCATGGTCGAAAGCTGGGGGAACTCCCTCCGCACATCTTCGCCATCGCTGAGTCATGCTACTGTAACATGATGCGGCATCTCAGGAACCAGTGCTGCATCATCAGGTCACCATGAATCATTTGACAGTCTTCAATAGCATACATCTTGTTAGGGTTTGCTTTTTGTTTACACTTATTCTTCTTCTCTTCTATATTTTCCTCAGTGGGGAATCAGGTGCGGGGAAGACAGAGAGCACAAAGTTGATCCTGCAGTATTTGGCGGCGGTCAGCGGTGAGCTTTCTGAGCAGCAGATCGAGCAGCAGATCCTCGAGTCAAACCCCATCCTCGAAGGTACTACGTCAACAGACTGTCAAAACAATTGCCCATTCAAAATCGATTCTTGTCTTACATAGGTGACTAATTTCAGGGTTAACAGCTGTGACCTGTGAGTTAATGAATGCGGCTTGGCAAAATATTACACGAAAGCAGAGTTAACTATGTATAAGGTTATATTTAAAGAAGTTATATCAAATGATAGCAATAAGGCTAACACATAAAGACAAACCTTCAACAAATCTTACATTTATTTATGCTTATCATACACAAATGCAAACTTTTTACAACAAGTTTTTAGTGACATCCAGAAAAAACTGAAATGTATCCCAAACAATGCTACATTAAAATACTGGTTTTATTTGGCTTCTGAAAACTCAAAATATAAATTGCACACCAAAAAAAACCTTTAAAAACCCTTTCAAGCTTTTATTTTGTGGGAATTTGGGACTTGTACAATTCCTGACACAGTTTTGCCATGTGTTACAGTACATCAGTAGCAATATCTTTCTCCTTTCGAGGAAAACACGTTAACAGGTCTTAGGAGATAAGAATCTCCACAAACAACTTCCTGTTGGGACACACCCATACACAGAAAAAGTACAAAAATAATAATAAACCGCCCTTGTTCTGTCCCATGCAGCGTTTGGAAATGCAAAAACGATCCGCAATGACAATTCCAGTCGCTTTGGGAAATATTTGGAGATCTTCTTCAGTAAGAACGGAGTGATTGAAGGAGCTCGAGTGGAGCAGTATCTCCTGGAGAAGTCCCGTGTCTGCCATCAGGTGAGTTTTCTCAGTCCAAACACCTGCTCCTTCTTATCATATCCCCAATGGAGGAGGGGGGGCAATAAAAACAGGGCTGGTTAGATAAACACGGTGTTATCATGGACAGTGAACCCTTAGAGAATTACCCGTTGAAGTCATGGAAAATATTAGTAAGTCATTCACAGCCACAATGAGTTTCCTTTTAAACACCTTTTCTTTTACTGGTACACGTCCTATAATTATAAAGCATTAAAAGCACACTTATTGAGCAATTCCTCTCTTCTTATTTCTTTTTTGCTTTTTCTATTATGTTTTCCTGATTTGTGGATTGTTATGTAGTATTTAATGTAATTACAGTTCATTTTGTTATTCATGCCATTCATTCTCAAAAGGCTTATGGCCCGGTTAAACTCTATTTATAAGAAGTCCTAATGCTATTTAATAACATTCAGAGTATAATAATTCTAATAATCGTAATACAGTATATATTGCTTTTTTATGCATTATAATCACAGTTATAATGCTTTATAATTTAATATAAAGTTACTTTAAGTGCTTGATATCAAGTAATTATATACCTGAGGTATATGGAGATAAAATAAATGAAAAGGTGGTTATAAACGGGCATTATTTACGTTAAGTGAAAAGTACATAATTGAATCCAATCAAATCTATGAATAACTAGCAAAAATGTGGTGTTATGATACTTGACCTTAAATGTAATTAAAGGGGGGCCCTATATTGCTCATTTTCTGGTTCATATTTGTATTTTGTCTGGCTCTGTTGTGATTGGTCAACTGCTTTAGAGATATCCCCCGTTTCATTTTACGTACAATGTGTTGCAGTGCCAGCCAATAGAAACACGAGTGTTACATAGTGATGTCACTATGTTTTGGAAGTAAACAAAGGACAACAATAGAGGTGTATCAGACAAGGGAGCGGGGGGGAGTGTGTGGGAGAGAAACCCCCTTGGAGCCAACTTTGAGATTTTAGCCTTTGCAAACCATTTACATGCACACAAACCGTTATAATACACTACAGGAAAAGGAAAACCCCGAAAAGCATAATAAATGATAATTGTTATATTTTAAAGCATTATAAATAGTACATAGAACTAGTTATACTTCAAAGTAATCAGACTATAATGCATCATAAGCATGTTTATAATGCATTATAGACATGGAAAGTGTTACTGTTTATCTTCTTGTAACAACAATGGTTTATTTTTGCTCCACACTACCTTTAGGCCCTGGAGGAGAGAAACTACCACGTGTTTTACTGTATGCTTGCAGGAGCCACGGCAGAGGAGAAGAAAACATTGAACCTCGGTGATGCTAAGGAGTACAAATTCCTTTCCAAGGTATAACATTGGCTGCCACCCCGAACATCTGACATCTTGTCGATTTACTGTAAACAATGTGAACCTTCCTTCTCATGTTACAGGGCGGCTGTATCCAGTGTGACAGCAGGGATGATGCTAAAGACTACCAGCGTATTCTCTCCGCCATGAAGATCCTCACCTTCTCAGAACTCCAGTGTCAGGAAATCCTCAAGCTGCTGGCAGCCATGTTACACCTGGGAAACGTCTGCTTCCAGGGTGAGTCAACACATGTGACATATTATAGTTTTTTTCTATAAATTGCTGGTTATATTTAATGCCAGGAACAATACAAAGGTAAATAAAACAGATTTACTATAATCCTAGCAGTAATGGTTGCTACACCGAAAGCACTTAAACACACTACCAAAATGTTACAACACTCCACTACAAGATAAAGTCAGATTATTACTTGTGGTGTCAATCGATACAAAAATCTTAATCGCGTTTGATCAAAACATTCATTTTTAAAATGTGAAACTTAAGTTTAAAATACTTAGAAATCAGGGGCCGTATTCACAAAGGATTTTATCTTACCGCTAGGAGTGCTCCTAACTCGCGCTAAAACATTTTACGTAGGAGTTTTTTCTTAAAAGTTATTCACAAAGCCGCTGAGACCTACTCATACTAAGGATAAATCTAAGAAACTAAGAGTGACGCGCCGTTGCTATGGATGACGTCGATTCTCGTGCATGAGTTTAGAAGCGGTCAGTACGGTGATTGGTTGTTCAGAGTAGGCGGTCTCGGTGAAACTCATCCGCAACATCCCACAAACGAGCCCACTAAATCACCGAAAAACAAGGAAATAGCCTAGGCTAGAAATGTATTCCTATCAAATAGTTATGGACAGTGCAGTTAGCAGAATACACGCATGATGATAAGTTTGTGCAGACCACGATAATGACGTTGTATATGCACGTTAAAGAGAGAGAGCAAACAATAAAAATACGTAAATTGCATTAAATCGAGGAGGCAATTAAAAGCACCCTGCAAACTATTATCCAATGAGCATATTTCCAGCACTTAAACACTTTCAATAACAGCCCATACCGCCGTTCAAGTCCCCCTATCATGA